AGACTTGGGACAACCTCGACTTGACCCACGGCATAAAGACATGTGCATGTAATGCGTATCACAGACCTATTGGAAGGTAACTGTGAATGTTTTCTCTGTTAGTCAATTCTCTCAAATGCTTATGCATTAAGGAGGATTCTAGCCCTAATGCATTTTAGATTTGGTAGGATTAAAAATAAATTGGTCTATTTGCTGCCGGAAAAATCTTCACCTAGACGCGTCACTAATGTGTGATTCCTTAAATGTCTCTCCACTCTCTCTGCTTAATGTAGGTATGTACCAAAAGATGTTAAGAGAAGAAGAATTTCTCGCCTTTAAGCTCATCCAAAAATACTGTCATGTAGGGCAGTAGAATGCGGCCGACACATTCTCTCCAAATGAAATTCGTTTATTTGGCATGTTTTTTTGATGATGGCCTCGACAACAGAAGGTTTTGCGGCCCCTGCTGGGTGGAATTGGAGGATAGGCAATCTTGGGGTGCCAATGTCACAGTAACATGGACAAACTTAGCCCAGACCGAAACTGGTACTTTTCTGCTACTTTTCTGCTACTTTTTTACCCCATCAGACATGGAGCGTGAATTCACGCCTCTGCACGTGGTCGTATGGTTGCGCACCGATAGAAGCGGAAGACATTCTTTTGCTTTTATCTCTAGCGCCTATCGACTATCTCTAACAAGGCTCTAGACCTGGGATTCCATGACGCAGGCCTCCAAGCCCGCAAGCACTCGTTGTTTGTGATCCTATTCTCTTCACGTTGGTTCACAGCGCGGAATCACTTGGATTGTATCTTTGCTTTATTTTAACAAAGCAGATGAGTCTGTTATAGCAGACACTGGCGAGTGTTAGCCAAGATGTGTTGAATAATGAGTATTATCCAAAGTATGTGTGCAATTAATATTGTAATATGTTACGGTTTAACGATTAAACTTAATCAGCCATATAATTTCCTTGATTCGATGTCAAACAAAGATCTGTATACATAGAAAGAGTAGATGGATTCGATGAATCTCTTAATAGACCATTATTGTGGATACTTTCACTTCATATGAAAGTACATGATAAAGATGCTGCTCCAGTTGTTCTGCAGTCGTTTGGCTTAAAACGATGTTCAGGTTTACGCACTCCCCGAGACATCGTCCATCATTTCGGGTGAAAATGGACTAAGCTTTCGTCCATCATATGAAAGACATCATCACAGAATGCTAACACTAATGTTAATTTAAGACTTTTATAAGAATGAGTCCCAGCACTGGCGATGACAATCATATGATGTACGAAAGCCCAGTTTATTTTTCTTGAAACGAGGGAGCATTTCTCGTAGACTGTCAGCATAAAGGTTCTATTAAGGCCAAACGGCTGCAGGACAACAAAATTTGACCTTTGTATTCCGATAAAGCCAACCAACGAAGCATTTTAGCATACCCTTTACTACTAAACGAAAGTCTCCCAACAAAGATGTGATTTCGATGCAAAACCGCTCGTGTATAATTTCGGCTCTTTATTGTTGACAACTAGTTCTTTCACTCATATATTCTCATATATAAACTATTTCTTATACGTGTCATTCTAAAAGTAAAGAAATGACAACTTTTGGTATCGAGCAATTTGTTATTTCATAATTGTTAATCAAAATGTTTGGTGCAGAGAGTTTCGGGCATGTTTTGGGAATGAGCCGGTGAGTATTCTCGACTCGTTAACTTGAATATGGTTGCAAACATGATACCGTCATACGACGGACGAAAGCCTGGCACGTCTTCACCGGAATCCGCTTCAACAAGAATGTTCCATCGAAGCCGATCGACAGCTGGTCAAGAGGAATCCGCCGTCTATTGTTGGTGGGATTGACATGCGAAGCTGTTCGACAAGCACTTTCGGAATGTAAATGGGCTCAGCAACTTTGGGTCTATCAAAGCAGTGTCTACAACCTAACAGAACAGTTGTTTTAGTTCGACCTCCATTCGCAACTTGGTCGGGGTGTCAGACTTGGTACATTCTCATCGTAGTCGTCGTAGTTGTAACTTTGTGCTAACGATGGCGCCTCGAACTGACGATGCCGACGAAACTTTTGCAAATGTACCAAATCGATGATCGGATGCTGGTAGTCACGAATACTATGGAAGAGGACACAGAACTGAGCACCTTCCACAAGGTATCCCTGACGCTCCGAAAAAGTTGCAAAGACGAGTTAGAACTGAAACTATACATCCAAAAGAGACTGCGACCAAGCAGAAGACAGCACCATCTTCATCTTCACATCTACGATAGCAGTTGCTAAGCACTTTTGGCCTCTTTCCTGGATTGTATCCTCATCTTAATCCCGAGTAGAGATGGCTGTAATCGCGCCAGCATACGTGTACTGGTTTGTATGGAAACATTTAGGAAGTCTTGGATGCTTGGACGATTGTAGCCAAGTCTCATCTCTTAAATTGGCATGAAAACGCTATTTGAGTTGTGAATTTGCTTTCCATCTCGTCGGTGTGACTGAAAACAGATTCTCCTCAGATAACTCTGATTCTCAGTTTGTCCTCTCTATGCCTGCCTTTGGACTGAATGTGACCTTGTCTCTCTTTGTTCTATATCTATTTGTCCATCTATTTGTACATCCTTAATATAGTTCTTTGTCCGTAGGTCAAATTCTCTTTACACCTATCGCACTGGTGAGTTTATAACATCAAGACACGACAATCTGAGCACGTACAGCTAATCCAGCCAAATCACAATTGTCATGTTTGTATTTTCACTGCGCCATACAATAAAGCTTGTATATTGTTTGCCAACTTGCTCTATTGAGGCTGAGCCGACCATTTGAAGGACTCGACCGGCCCCAGTGCACTTGTCAGTGTGCACTCGGCAGCCTTCTAGCAAACACAGATGGGTACCAACACTTTTGGGCTTTGATCAACCGTTCGAGTCCCATGGTCGGGAAGTAGCGTCTCGACATTGTGATGGATACAGTCTTCTCCCTTTTACTAGCCTCCTCTAGGATTTATTGTGTGCCTACAGGCAGATACATGCACATGTTGTGAAATACTTCTGAGCATAGTGGTAGTGGGGTGATGAGTTATGGTAACCCGCTTACTATTGTGCATTTGTATTCTGATACTACTGCCATTGAATGGCAGCAACATCCTTCATAGTCGGTGTATTTGTATGCATTTGAAAGTGTTCGTGTGTGTGTGTCTAGGTGAAATCATGTCTCCTCATTTGCTTATGCAGATCGTCATGCATGCAACTGTACCCGTGTGCATACGGTGCATGGAGATGTTCCGACCTGCATAAAGCAGCTTCCAAGATAATTTGGCAAGCTGTCAAACGAGAGAACGGTTCAAGATGAGTTGGTGAGACACCAGACGGGTTGACGAGAGCAGGAAGCGAAAGTAAAGACGAAGATGAATTATGGCAAAACCACAATGCTTTTTATGAAATAATGATAAATATAAATTCCAAATACTTGTGCCCGCACACATACCAACACACACACATATATATATATATACATGCACAATTATTTATATATACATATTAAAAATATGAATAACCACAGAGAAAGCAGGTTACAGAGGCAGGAATACGGGGATGGGCAAACAGTGAAGCTGTCTTTGGCCTGAGGCCCCAGAGAATCACGTGCAAATAAGCTTGATGGAGTGAAGCGCAAATAAATCATGAAACTGTCCTTTCTTCACCCCAACGATACCCTACATGAGCCTTTTACCCCCAGCCTGTCAACTACAAGCCAAGATGGCACACAGTCAAGCATATAAAGTGAGACTTACCGACCTAATCTAAACTCTCTTCTCCTGCATGTCCATTTGGTTGTGCATTTTTCTATCAGTATGTCTCTCTGCCTATCTACCCATTTGTCTGCCTTTTTGGCTGGCTTCCTATTTATTTGTTTTTCCATTTGTCTCCTCATGTATCAGTTTGTCTGCATGTCGCTCCTCAAGTCTGTCCAACTTTTGATCTTTCTAGCTGCTTACCTGCTCACTTGTCTGCTTGTTTGTCTGTCTGCATTCTCATCCACATACCTCTCCCTCCAGAGCTCTAGCACCCCGGTATATCCGCACATCTACCTCTGGGTCTTTCCACACATCTGTCAGTCAGTATGCCTATCCCCTTTTCTATTTGCTTATTTGTCTGTATGGCTCCCTGTCCTTCCATCCCTCTGATAGACTTCATCTGTATATGTCTTCATATCTATCGTCATACCTACCTGCTTGTCTTACTCTGTGTTTTGTATGTGTGTATTTATCTTCTTATCTGTCCTCTCTTATATGAGAAAATGCATTTATACCTTCGTGGCGTCATCCATCTGTCCGCTCATCTTTCTACTGCCTATCCTTCGGCCTCGAAAGCATACTTATAAAGCGAGAAATTCTACTTTCTTCTAATCTGCCTATTTTTCACACTGTCTATGATGCCTTTCAACCGGCCCTCTATGCGTCTGTCTGTGATTTTGCATCCCTTCGCCTGTCTGTATGTCGGTGTGTCGGTCAACCTGTTCCTCTTTATGCGTCCTATCCGTCCCGAGTCAAGGTTTCCGCCCCATAAGCCGGCAGCATTTCATCATGTCGTTGTCGGCTGGCGAAGCCGAACCCAGCGGAGCTTCATGAAGTCAGTAATTTGGCGCGGATGGCACAAATGTGAGATCTTTTCGTTTGTTTGTTTAAGGCAAACCCAGGTTTTGCTGCCGCGTACCGAGAGCCATCTTGTGACGTGTCAAGTTTAAACAGTCCACACTCAGTCCATCTGTCATTCATTCAATGAAATCGTTCCTCCGACACATTCACTCTTCATTAGCTCGTCTAGCTACAGCCTTGTTGTAGCCATTTCTATAAATGATCTTTTACTTGGTCATATTGGAATTATCACTTAATGTTTACAAATAATTGCGACAAAACTTCATGTCGACACATCCGATTGGCCAGCAGTCATCTCCCATGCCTCCGTCCACTTCCCCTCCCAAATTATCTGAATAAATACATAATGCATATCTATCGATGCCTGTGTCTATCTGTTTATCTACGTGTGTGCGTGTGCATGCGTCTGTGATTGTATTGGTAGGTACAATGTAGATTAGCTTAGCTTTTTCAGTTAAAGCTCGTCTACTCATGGGCATCTGGCATCCCAGTTATGTCTTTATTGTATCTACCCGTAGTCCATTCATATTTTGTGTCCAACTCCCACTCAACAGTATTTTTTCACCGCATTGATCATCGTTTCAGTTAGCCATCCGCTTACTATATTTTTCTTTTTACAGCAAAAAAGGTAAGACTACCAAACTGTCGAATGAATGCCATGGAAAGAGGAAAGAGTGGAAGGAAGCTGAGGCCTGTTTACCCAACTAAAGAACACCAGATCCAGGCTACAATCCTGCAAAGCAAGAGAAATTTATTGAGATAGCTGAACAGAACGAGTGAAGGTAGGAGAGCCTATATTCCTGTCTGTCTCCATGTGTGTAGTGTGCGTGTTCGCATGCGTGTGTGTGTGTATGTGTGCAGAAGAGAAAAAGTGAAGCTTTAGCCAGGATTGAGTCAAGGCGAACTGACCAGACTAGAACCAGTTAATCTTACGTATCGCACGCTTTGAAAAGGAAGTTTGCACAGTATGAACAGAAAGATTGCGTCTCCGGGGCTATGGAAATATGTGTCAAAGTGTATGTGTGTGAATGTAAATTTATCCAGATTGGTCAACATCCCACATCGGATAAGAAGGCGTGCTTCATTTGTGACCTTCTGCACCACACCACACCACACCACACCCTTTGGGCTATGCATCGATGTGCTAAAATGTTTGGGCCAAATGTAAAATACTGGAGGTATCAGGAAGTAGGAAACGAGCAACAGCCTCAGGAGGGTACAGGTAGGGTCAGAAGGTGTGAGGAGCTGTGACTCTCGGATATCCTTTCTGACCTTACCCAGACCAGTTTTCGCGTTGTGGCGACCTCCATTCCGTTTAAGCAGTCGGATAGTGGGACTCGTAAATTACTTTCACTCGAAACCGATTTAGGATTGCCATCAGCAATTTTCTCTTGATTTATTATATTTTTACACTATTTCGTAAAGTATGCATTTTCGCTATGATGTCTGTTGAGGCGGCACAGACCAAAGCTTAGCACAGGTTGGGCGGGGTCGCAGGATGGTGAGCCGAAGACTGTATCGCACAACTCAACAGACTTTACTCTGCCGCAATTCTCCGGTTTCCTGTCATATCGTTTCACGAATTCCTTCCGACTAACTTTTCCTTCAAAATTGAAAAGCATCTCACAATATATCATCAAAGAATTCTTGAAAACCTAGTTTGTCCGCATACCTCACCTTCAAGGGCTTGACCGATTTTAATGTTGTACCTTTTATTTCGTCTAAGCAAACAGTGAAAAGGACCCGTAAATTTGTTTTATTCAAAACCGATATAGGATTGTTCTGCAGTTA